GTTATCCTGCAGCTCCACTGTTTCCCACATCCCACAAAAACCCTCAAACAACTTCCTGTGACCTCGTGTGACCTTCTGATACCTCAGCTCACGTGTTCCCACCACGATTTAAGTGTAGGTACAGCAGGTGTAAGATGACCAACGAGCACGAGTGTAAAACAACTGAGACAAAACTCGTTTCTTCAGCCTTCAGCATCATCATCATCATCATCATCCACAACAAGATGTTTTTAAAAGCAGAGGAACGTCAGGAAGTTCTGGTATCAGAAGGAAAACACGGAGCGTGATCGGAGTCACTCTAGCCTGCTGGTTTTGATGCTCTGCGCTCGGTGATTGTAATGACAGACTGAGGTGTGGGCGGAGCTGCTTTCTGATCATGTGATTAGTAAACGGATGCTGAAACACGTCCAGATAAACACAGAACTTCTGCCATTTAGTGCCGGTCACATGACCCGATCACGTGTCTCTGTAAATCAGGACTCAAACGGCCGTGACCACGACTGGACGAGCAGAAGCTGCGCGATCCCACGGACGCCGCTGCTCGTCTGGAGATCCTTGACGCCGTCACATCCATCACAGCTGCTGCTTTCTTTAAACACGGCCTCGTGTTCGTCATCTGGCCTTGCAGAGGCACTGAATAAATCTCAGCTGGACAAACTCAACGTCTGAATGTTTTTATTCGATAATTTCCTGCAAACACAGCATGAAATAAAAAATGGCAGCAAATCTGACCTCGACTGCGTGTAGACTGTACGTAGAAGATGGACGTGTGCGTGTAGCAGCCAGTGTCTCTTTTTAACCTCGTAAAATCTTCCTGATGGTCTCAGTCTCAGGTTTTAGTCTCGTTTAGATTTTGTCCCAATTCAGGGTCAAATGATTGAGGGTGTGGCTACTCTGTGATTGACAGCGACCAGCTTTCTTACACACGTTGGCCGGGTCCATCTTTTATGTACAGGCTCTTCAGGCAGTCTGAGAGGCGTTACGATTGGACGGCAAATTGTGGAACATTTTCAGAGATCATGTACAGTTAAGTGGACTAATTCTGCTGCTCCGCGTCCGCCGCGTCAAACTTCCTGTCCGGGAAAAGCTTCTAATAATGACGCCTGTGAGTGAGCTCTAAAGGCTCCGTTTACCACACTTTTTCTACTTTTGGGTCTCTCTGATGTCACAGAGAGGAACAGAAGCTCCACCCACCTGTTGTTCAAATCAGCCAATCACAATAAAGCTAGTTAAAGGTATTTTTCACCACCAGGGGGCAGTGTTAAGATAGAGGAAGTGTTCACGTTTTTTTTTATTTAGCTATGAAAAAAATGGTGGAATGAGCAGAATATGTCCACTTTAACAGCTGAGTGTCATGGCGGCTGTGACGCAGTCACATGACGCGTCGTTAGCTGCTGACTGCATGTTTACATTTTTATTTACATTCAGTTACAAACATATAAAAAGTTCAAATTATACATCTGCTGCATTTCTACACAATTTCAGAGCACGAGGATTCGCTGCGGCACCCGTTGTCACGGTGAATTCAACAATGTAAATTACTTCATTAACATAACGTCATTGGTTGATAGGTTAAACAGGATGAAATGAATTACAGGGTCATTACTGGCGTAGAGTCGGT